TAAAAAATTTATTTTTCTTTATTAACAAAAAAATAATTTTTAATTATATTAAAAAAAAATAATAATAAAAAAAATGTGTTAAAATTTTTTTTTCAATAAATAAATAAATAAACTACACCACAAGAGACCTGTTATGTTAAGGGGATAAAATATAAATCTCATTTGCGAGGGTCGCCAGTTTTAGAAATTGAAGTTGCACGTCCAGAGAGAAGCTCTAAAAAAGTTCATAAAGTCGACTTCGATTCATTGCGGGTCGTGTCGCTGACCTTATATAATTGGATGTTTTATTTTTTTTTTCGAATGCATTTTAAATAAAAGTTTATTTATTAATTTTTCCAAGCAGAAAAAATTCTCATAAATAATAAATTTTAACAAAAAAAAGCAGTTTTTAAAATTAAATTAAAAAAGAAAAATTGATTAAAAAAAACTCTTAGTGAATTTAAAGTAATTCTTTCGAATTCGATTAAATTAGAAAAAAATATGTTTATATCAGTACTATATTTCTCATCAGTGAGCTTAATATTTTGTTGATAATGAACGTCCGGAAATTGCGTTAATTATACAGTGAATCTCTTTGGATAACTGACTCGCCGGCTTCAATACTGCCATCAGCTAATTAGTGTCTCTAATTTTCCAACAAGATATACCAATGTCGAATATCGACAAATTACTGGGAATTTCGACAACTCTAATTGTCGCGAGAGAATTTCTCTACTTCAATATTTCTCGCTATGACAATTTTCAGAATAATGATAATAATAATTATAATTATAATTATAATAATTTTTACTACTTTTCTGAAAGAAACACTATTTCTGATTGCAGGTCAATTATTCTCTTACTTTAGAAAAAGATTTGTTAACAATTTTCAAATTTTTTACAATCGCTTGTGAGAGAGTATTTTTTGTCAAATTAATTTTTGAACTAAAAATGAAAGTTTTAATATTTTATATCGATCGCTTGTGAGAGAGATTTTTGTGAGTCATTTTTTGCACCGCTTCTTATAGATACTGATTGATAATTCGAAAATCTTTTTCGACCGCTTGTGAGAGAGTTTTTTGTAGGTCAATTTTTGTGCTACTTGTTAGACAAAATTGTTGATATTTTTTATCGAGCGCTTGTGGGAGAGTTTTTTTGTATATTAATTTTTTCATTCCTTCTTATGGAGGCTTGTTGAAAATTTCTAGACCTATTTTTTATCACTTGTGGGAGAATTTTTCGTAGGTCAATTTTTGCTTCGCTTCTTATAGAAAATTGTTAATAATTCCAAAACTTTTTTTCGACCGCTTGTGAGAGAGATTTTTTTTGTCAGTCAATTTTCGCAACAGTTTAGAAAAGAAATTTCTCGATATTTTCCTAGATTTTTTCTACCACTTCCGAGAGAGTTTTTTGTGGGTCAATTTTTGAATCACTTACCAGAGAGATTTATTGACAATTTCAAGATCTTTTTCGATCACTTGTGAGAGAATTTTTTGTGGGTCAATTTTTGCATCAGTTCTTAGAGAGACTTATCGACAATTTCAATACTTATTTCGATCACTTGTGAGAGAGTTTTTTGTGGGTCAATTTTTCTGCCCCACTATAGAAAAAAATTTCTTAATAATTTCAACGAATTTTTTTTTTGTTTCCACCACTTGTGAGAGAATTTTCTTTAGAAAACTATCTATTTAAATTAATCGTCTAATCTCTTAAAATTGTATTTACCGGAAATGAGGGTTTTCATCAATCATTGTATATATATATATATGGTCTTCCCCCTTTTTTCCAGTTAAAGGTTTTTATTGTTGGAATAAAGTCTCTTGAATCGGGGGGTTTAGAATACTAATGTATTTTCAGGACTCAGTGAGTCGGGAGGACCGCAAAGGGTGACCGGGATGAGAAAATGGGGTGTAGGTTTTGAACAGCGACGACCGTAAAGGCAACCAGCCCGAGTTTCCGGATTTATTGGGAGGCGGAAAAAAAGAATTGTAATCCTCTTTCCGACAAGACCGCATTCTCCAGTCTCTCTCTCTCTCTTTCTCTATAAAAGTTGGGCCGTTTTCCATGCTCGTAAGCGGTACTTCTGGAAAATTTCAAAATTGACAATATTTTTTTTATTAAAAAAAAAATTTTTTTTAAATATCAAAAAAAAAAAATTTTAATATTGAAAAAAAATTTTTAAATATTAAAAAAAAATTTTTAATAAAACAGTTTTTAAATGTTAAAAAAAAGAATTTTTTTAATTATAGAAAGAATTTCATTATTTAAAATACAAGAAAATTAATAAAAAATTTCCATGTATTTGTAAATTGAAAAAAAAAAAAATTTTTCTGGAACAAATAGAGAAATAATGAGAGGAAGTTAAAAAAAAGAGAGAGAGAGAGAAAAAGGATATTTAGAAGAAGATTAAATTGTTCTTGATAGGTTAATAATGCACTTAAGTTGGGTCTTGTTGTATTTTATATAGAATATATAATACAACCATGGTGGGGGGGGTCTTTGTTGAAACTTTTTAATTTATATTTAATGGAAAAGAAAAGGATAAAAACTTTTAATAAAAAGCGGATTCGTTGGAGAATTGATTATCTTTTGAAAGAGAGAGAAAGAGAGAGAGAGAATCTCTACGAATTTTTTTTTTTCTGTATTAAGAGTTTTGCCCTCTGGCGTTAAGGGAGAAAAAAAAGACGAGATCCTTTGTTTGACTCGTACAGAAAAATTATATACAAGTGAGTGACGTTGGATCTCTCTATATAGATAAAAAATTTTTGCCAAAGAATTATTTTTTCCTTTCCATTTGTAAAAAAAAATTTTTTGTTTTTTGAGAGTAATTGAAAAAATTATTTAAAAAAATTGTTTTCTAAAAGAGAAAAAGAGAAAAAAAATTTTAATTTTGTAAACATTTAATTTTTATTGAAATTGTTTTTTTTTTCTAACCAAACATTTTTCGAATGTGACTTCCTTGGGACACGAGAGTGACCAGGAAAATTGTGTTTGTACAGTCCTTGGAAGGAAAAACAAAAAAAAAAAAAAAAAAAAACGCGCGCGGTTATTTCAATCTTCATTCTCGAAAAGCAGTGCTTTCAACAGTTTGGTTTTCTTTGCACTTTGTTTTTTTTTGCCAAACCCCTTTCTCTCTCTCTCTCTCTCTGATGCCTAGCGCACTTTTCACCATAGGGAAAAGCGTTCTTTTCGTTATTTGTGACCAAAGTGCAAAGAGACCCAACCCGACTTGAGAATGAAACAAACCAAGATTGATTACCCTCTTTCCAACCTTCTAGAATCCATTTTCAAAAAAAAAGGAAAATATTCTTTTATGGAAAAAAACTTTTTTTACTTCCCAGGGACTCTTACGGTAAATTATACTTAAGTAATAAAATTATCTAAAAACAAAATCTATAAACATTATACGGATTTTAAAGAGAATGATTCAAAAAATTTGCAGAAAGTTCGATTAAAATCTGCTTAGAGTTCGCCTTAGAGTCCGCTGAAAGTTCGATAAAAATGTGATAAGAGTCCGCGCGTACAGCCAGCTAAAATTCCGATTAAAATTCACTTGGATTTCGCTTAGAGTCCGCCAAAAGCCCTATTAAAATCCCCTTAGAGTCCGCCAAAAGTACAATAAAAATCCGATTAGAGTCCGCTTAGAGTCCACTGAAAGTCTCCTAAAAGTCCGCTGATAATCCTATTAAAATTCACTAAAATTCCGCTGAAAGTTTGATTAAAATGTAATTTGAGTCCCCTAAAAGTCCAATTCAAAGCTAAATAATGTCCGCTTAGAATCCGATTAACATCAGGTTAGAGTCCTTTGAAAGTACGATTAAAAATTGTTTAAACTCCGCTTAGAGTCCGCTAAAAGTCCACTAAAATAGATTAGAGTCCGACGAAAGTCTGATTAAAATTTGGTTAGAGTCCGCTAAAAGTCCCATTAAAATCCTATTAGAGTCCGCCAAAAGACCGATTAAAATCCGGTTAGAGTCCGCTGAAAGTCCGATTAAAATTCGCTCAGAATCCGATAAAACTCCACTAAAATAGATTAGAGTCCGCCAAAACTCCGATTAAAATCCGGTTAAAGTCCGCTTAAGGGGCTTCTGAAAGTAAGATGAAATTCCGCTTAAACACAGCTTAGAGTCCGATTAAAATCTAATTAGAGTCCGATGAAAGTTCACTAAAAATTCGCTGAAAGTTTGATTATAATCCGCTTAGAGTCCGCTGGTAAGTCCGATTAAAATTCGCTCAGAATCCGCTAAAAGTCCACTAAAATAGATTAGAGTCCGACGAAAGTCTGATTAAAATTCGGTTAGAGTCCGGTAAAGTCCCATTAAAATCCTATTAGAGTCCTCTAAAAGTCTAATTGAAATCCGTTTAGAGTCCGCTTAGACTCCAATTAAAATCCGCTTAGAGTTCAATGAAAGTCCAATTAAAATTCACTTAGAGTCCATTAAATGTCCGCTAAAAGTTTGATTAAAATACAATTAGAGTCCAGTTACAGTCCGCTAAAAATCCTTTAAAAATTCGCTGAAAGTTTAATTATAATCCGCTTAGAGTCCACTGGTAAGTTCGATTAAAATGCAATAAAATTCCGCTTACAGTCCGCTAAAAGTCCTACACAAAATCCGATTAGATTCCGCCAAAAGTCCGATTAAAATCCATTTAAAGTCCACTTAGAGTCCGCTGAAAATCCCATAAAAATCTACTGAAAGTCCGCTAATTGTCCAATTAAAATTTGCGTTGAGTCCGCTGAGAGTTCGAAGAATGTCCTCCAAAAAATCTACCTAGAGTCCGCTAAGAGTCCACGGAATTTTTTTTTTTTTTTTTGCAGATAACAGTCCGCTGAAAATTTGCTTAGAGTCCGCTAAAGAGTCCGCTGAGAGTCCTAGGAATTTCCTCAGTTATTAGTCCACTAAAAATCCACTTAGAGTCCCAAGAACTATCATTTTTTTTTCCTAATTAAATAAAAATTAAATTTTAATAATGATTCGATATTAAAAAAAATAAATAAATTTTTTTTTTTATTATTACAGGTACAAAGTTGAAGTGGCTGGAAAGTCGTTACCAGTTCTGACGAATCTTGACAAGGGACGATATGGGGTGTTGGTTTTTGAAAATTTGAACAAATATCTTCAAATGGACAAATGGAATCGTGAGCTACTTGATAAATATTGCCGTGAATATTCAGTTGGTATCGTTGGATTTGCCCCACCAGGTGAAGAGAGTCTTGTTGGCGCACAACTCAAGGGCTTTCCACTCTTTATACACACAAATTTAAGACTGAAGGTTTGTTTTTTTTTTGTTATTTTTGAAAAAAAAATACATTTTTATTCTGACAATTTTCCAAAAGATATTCCACAAGATATTACAATAAATATTTCAATAAAATATTTCACGAATATTATTATTTGTAGAATTTAATGTGATATCCTAGAGATATTCCATGAGATATCCCGAGGATATTCCATGAGATATTCCAAGGACATTCCACGAAATATTCCAAGGATATTCTAAGGTTACTCCAAAAGATATCTTAAGGATTTTTCATGAATATTCCAAAAAAAATTTCCATTACTTTTCTTGAGGATATTTTTTCAGGGAATATCCCTTAAAGTATTTAATAAAATATTCCAGGGATATTCCATGAGATACAAGGATACTCCTTAGATATTCCACGGAATAGCTTAGGGATATTTCATGAGATTTTTTTAAAGAATTTTCCAAGGATATTCCACGAAAAGTTACGAGGATATTCCATGGAATATCTCGAGGATATTTTTAGGAATATCCTTTTGAAATATTAAAAAAAAAATATTCCAGAAATATTATTTAAAAAATATCTAATATAATATCCCAGAAATATCCCTCGAGATATCCTAAGAATTTTCTAGGGATATTCCACGAAATATCCTAGTAGAATTTTTCAGTGATATTATAAGGATTCTCAAGAGTGATTCCATTAAGTATCCCGAAGATATTCCATGGAATATCTTGAGAATATTATTAAGAATATCCCGTAGATATTCTATGGAATAGCTTGAGAATATTTTTTAGGAATATCCCGAAGATATTACATGGAATATCTGAAAGATATTCCACGAATTTTTTTTTTGAGGATTTTCACCGGGATATTCCGTGACAAAATGAGTTGTAGAAAAAAATTTTTTTTTTTTAGTTTTTCTAAAAAAAGAATTTTTTTTTTAGGATGCCCAGTTGAATGCTGCATCGCCTATTCTTAGATTGACGAGAGCTGGCGAAACCGCTTGGGGACCACTTCCTGGCGGTGACTGGACAATTTTCCAACCGAATCACAGCACGTACGAGCCTTTGGCCTGGGCACATCGTGACAGTCTCAATGATCCAAACGATAAAAGTCCCCTCGCGACTGTTATTCAGGTAATATTTTTCGAAAAAAAAAAATTCAAAATATTTTTTATAAAAAAGTAAATAAATAAAAAATAAATAAATATATATTAAAAAAAAAATTCAAAGAAAAATATATATTTAAAAAAAAAATTCAAAATTCAAAAAAAAATTTCCCTTCTAAATTAAATAAAAATTAAAATATTGAAAAAAAAATCTTTCAATCCTCATCGATCATTTCTTCTCTTTCTTTCTCTCATTTTTTTTTTATAACTGACAATTTTAATTATACATTTGGTTCTTTCAATTAAACGCGGATTTCTCTTCCAAACGGGGGAAATTTTAATGACTGTTAATTAAATTTCCAAATTTAATTATAAGCTATTAATTACGTTGATTGATGTATAATCCCTTTGAAACGACATATAAGCACAATGTTCAGAGTTTTGTTTTCATTTTCCATTTTGAGAAAAAAAAAAAAAAAATTTTTTTCGGGGGCAAATTTTTATTTCCGCTAGTGATTCCATCAAAGAAAAAAAAGGAGAAAAGAAAGAAAAAGATAAAGGCAGAAACGAAAAAATAACACATATATATAGTAATTGGAGGAGTCGATATTCGATTACGTTTTTTTTTTTTGGCCTCTTTGCACACGCGACGGTGTTTGATAAAAGCCAATTAAGAGTTACACTGTTAATTGATGGGATTGTCCCCAACGAAAAAAAATCCCATTATTCTCACTGTATGTGTTTGTGTGTGTTCATTTTATTTGTTTTTTTTTCGCACTTTCAAAACTTCATTATTTCCGTTTGATAAATTGATTATAAATTTTGCGTTAAATATTAAATAATTTTTTTATCTTTTCTGTATTTTTTTTGAATTTGTTATAAAAATATTTATTAACATTCTTAAGGTCAATTTTTCTACTATTCGAATTTAGAATTTACCGTCAATTTTATTAGATATATTCACCACTTGTGAGAGAATTTTTTTTTACCGTTTTTATTAAAAGTAGAGCATAATTTTTTATTATTTTTGTATTTTTTCAATTTGTTATAAAAATAGTTCTTAACATAATTAAGGTCAATTTTTCCACTATTCAAATTTGAAAATTATCATTAATTTTATCGTCTATAATCATCACTTGTGAGAGAATGTTTTTTTTTCCCGTTTTATATTAAAAATATTACATAATTTTTTATTTCTTATGTATTTTTTGAATTTGTTATAAACATATTTTCTAACATCGTTAAGGTGAATTTTTCCACTATTCAAATTTGGAATTTATCATTAATTTTATTGTCTATAATCACCACTTGTGAGAGAATTTTTTTTCCCCGTTTTATATTAAAAATATTGCATATTATAGTGTTTTTTTCATTTAAAAACAAATAATTTAATAATAATAATAATAAAATATAATATTTAAAATAATAATAACATTGTTACCTTAAAGTTGAGAAGGAAAAATTTTCATTTCTGACTTCCTTCTTTTTTGAGTAACCTACAAAATGTACTTTCGAGTCCCTCGGGTGTACCTTACATTCCATGGATCGACGCTTTCTGTATCCCAAAGAAACTATATATATATATATATGCTTTCACGGAATCTTGCAATCACAAAATTCCAGAGTAAATGTAAATATATGTGTGTAGAGTGTGAGGAAGAAGGTTACGACGAGGAATTGTTTTGCTCCCGTTTTGTCGCACATCCCTCTTCCTATTCCCGATTCCATTATCGTTGTGTTTCGTCCTATACCTACTTTTCAACAGAAATGTAGCACTTGCACTCGCGGAAATTTTCTTCATTTGTTTTATTTCAACCACATATACAGCAAGTACAATATTGGTGTGTGTATCACCCCAAAAATAGCCATTCTCTCTCTCTCTCTCTCTCTCTCTCTCTCTCTCTCTCTCTCTCTCTCTCTCTCTCTCTCTCTCTGTCTCTTGTCTCACAAACTCTGACTCTCGTTTTTCAACAAAGCTTCTTCTTCTTCTTCTTCTTCTTGCCCTCCGCATTTTTACAAAAAAATAAAAATAGCGAAGGCGCCACGTACCACTTTGAAGAAAAATGGCTAGCTAACAAACTGCACACAAAAGAAGAGAAAGAGAATAAGTGCTTGTTGGTATTATTTTGCTACAGTGAGGTCGATTTCGTGATGACGCTAAAAAGTTTCACCCTAAATAAAGGAGAAAAAAAAAGTAGAATAATGGTCTTAGGGTTTATTTTTTTTTCTAAAATTTTCAAATTAAAATGTGTTTTAGCCAATTTTTTTTTATTGAATTTTTCACTGGGAATTGCTTAAAACTATTTGAGAGGCAAAATTTAAATTCCATGCCAAATTCGTAATCAGCGACTCCGAAAACCCCCCCGAGTAACAAGTTTTAAGTGAATTCGATCAATTTTGAAAAAATTTTCCGCCATATTGGAGCCGCCATTTTGATTTTTGAAAATCTGATACCGGATTCATAATCAGCGACCACAAAAACCCCCAGTAGCAAATATTCTTAGCGAATTCGATCAATTTTTAATTTTTTTCTTCCGCTATATTTGAGCCGCCATTTTGAATTTTGAAAATCTGACCCCGGATTCGTAATCAGCGACCCCGAAAACCCCCAAGTAACAAGTTTCAAGCGAATTCAATCAATTTTAAATTTTTTCTTCCGCCATATTGGAGCCGCCATTTTGAATTTTGAAAATCTGACCCCGGATTCGTAATCAGCGACCCCGAAAACCCCCAAGTAACAAGTTTCAAGCGAATTCAATCAATTTTAAATTTTTTCTTCCGCCATATTTGAGCCGCCATTTTGAATTTTGAAAATCTGACGCCAAATTCGTAATCAGCGACCCTGAAAACTACAAATTAATAACTTTTAGACGAATTTGACCAATTTTGATAAACTTTTCTGCCATGTTTATTTAAAAAAAAAATTTTCCGCCTTATTGGAGGCGCCATTTTGAATTTTGAAAATCCGATTACGAATATGAGATCGGATTTTCAAAATTCAATATGGCGGAAGAAAAAAATTAAAAATTGATTGAATTCTCTTGAATCTTGTTACTCGGGGGTTTTTGGGGTCGCTGATTACGAATACGGTGTCAGATTTTCAAAATTCAAAATGCCGGATACAAGTTGGCGGATCAAAAATTAAAAAATTGATTAAATTCGCTTGAAACTTGTTACTTGGTGATTTTCGGGGTCACTGATTACGAATCTGATGTTAAATTCATAAATTATCAATTCCAAAAACATATTAAAAATATTTTCGAATTTTTTTTTTTTTGTGTAAATTTTTGAACATCCTAACGTTTTTTTTTATTTGCTATATTTTCTGTATAGTTTTTGTCAAAAAAAAAAAAAAAAAACTAAATAAATAAATTACTAATAATTTATTCTTCTTTCAGGATCATGGAAGACACGATGGGATTCAACGAGTATTATTTGGTGGCAGCTTGCGTTTTTGGTTGCACAAACTTTTGCTTCTTGACTCGTTATCGTATTTATCACACGGACAGTTGAGTTTGAGTTTAAATCGTATGATCCTCGTTGATGTGGATGATATTTTTGTCGGTGAAAAGGGTACAAGACTGAAAAAAGATGATGTCCTTGCATTATTGGCGACACAACAACGTGTACAGGCACTTGTGCCGGGATTTAAATTTAATTTGGGGTTTTCAGGAAAATATTTTCATCACGGTACATCCGAGGAGAATTTGGGAGACGACATGCTACTCGAGAATGTCGACAGGTATGGCAAAAAACATTAATTTTTACAAATTTCTTTAAATTCTTATTAATTCCTACCAATTCGTACTAATTCCTACCAATTTCTTTTAATTCCTACTAATTCTTACTAATTCCTTGAAATTACTTTTAATTCTTACCAATTCCCAACAGTTCTTACTACTTTTTACTAATTCCTTCTAACTCCTTCAAATTTCTACTAATTTTCTTTCAATTCCTACTAGTTCATTTTAATACCTGCTAATTCCTATCAATTCCTTCAAATCCTTAATAATACCTACCAATTCCTTTTAATACCTGCTAATTCATATCAATTCCTTTAAATTCCTTTTAATTCCTTCTTATTCCTACCGATTTTAACCAATTCTTACCTCATTTATTAATCTAATTCGTACTAATTCCTACCAATTCCTTTTAATACCTGCTAATTCCTATCAATTCTTTCAAATTCCTTTTGATTCCTTCTTATTCCTACTGATTTTAACCAATTCTTACCTCATTTATTAATCTAATTCGTACTAATTCCTACCAATTCCTTGTAATACCTGCTAATTCCTATCAATTCCTTCAAATTCCTTTTAATTCCTTCTTATTCCTACCGATTTTAACCAAGTCTTACCTCATTTATTAATCTAATTCGTACTAATTTCTACCAATTCCTTCTAATTCTCACAAATTCCGAACAATTATTACTAATTCGTACGAATTCCTGACAATTGGTACCAATTTTTTTGTAAATAAATCTTAAATTAAAATTTTTTTTTTTACTTTTTTCAATAGATTTACATGGTTTTCCCACATGTGGAATCATCAACAGCCACATCTCTATGAAAATGTGACACATCTACAATTGGATATGGCATTAAATAAACAATTTGCAAAGGATCACGGTATACCAACTGGAAGTGGATACAGTGTTAGTCCACATCATTCGGGTGTCTATCCCGTTCATGAGGGTCTCTATGAGGCGTGGAAAAAAGTCTGGAACATAAAAGCCACCAGTACAGAGGAATATCCACACCTGAGGCCGGCACGTCTCAGACGTGGTTTTATTCACCGCAACATTATGGTATGCGCATAGAAAAGAAGAAGGAAATCGTAAAAAAAAGCAAGGGATTTAGAAAAAAAAAATTTATTTTTTTTTCTCATTCTCCCTTCTTTTTTTTAAAAAAAAAAAAGTGGTAAAGTCAGGTTTAAATTTATTTGAATTTTTTGTTTTAATTTTATTTTTTACAGGTGTTACCGCGACAAACTTGTGGTTTATTTACGCACACAATTTTCATTGAAAGATATCCAGGTGGTAGGGACAAATTGGATGAATCAATACAGGGCGGTGAACTTTTTCAAACAATTGTTTATAATCCGGTGAGTATTTAATTGAAATTTTATACTCTTTTTTTTATCGGAAAAATTTTGTTCTTCTTTTGTAAATTATTTAATAAGAATTGAGACTATTGATAATTGAGACTATTGAGACTTGAGACTATTGAGAATTGAGACTATTGAGAATTGAGACTATTGAGACTTGAGACTATTGAGGCTTGATACTTGAGCCTATTGAGACTTGAGACCATTAAGACACAACTATTGAGAGTTGAGACTTAAAACTATTGAAAGTTGGGACCGTTGAGACTATTAAGGTTTCATACTTGAGCCTATTGAGACTTAAGACTGTTGAGACTTTAAACTATTGAAAGTTGGGACCGTTGAGGCTATTGAGACTTGATTCTTGAGTCTATTGAGACTTAAGACTGTTGAGACTTTAAACTATTGAAAGTTGGGACCGTTGAGACTATTGGGACTTGATTCTTGAGACTATTGAGACTTGATACTTGAGCCTATTGAGGCTTGAGACCGTTGAGACTTAAAACTATTGAGAGTTGAGACAGTTGAGATTTGACAATGTTAAAAGTCATGAGACTTGAGACTGTTGAGACAATTGAGACTAATTTTGGAATTTTTGTTAAAAAAATTTTTTTTTTCCATTTACAGATAAATATTTTCATGACACACATGTCGAATTATGGAAACGACAGACTCGCCCTTTATACTTTTGAATCTGTCATCAAATTTATTCAATGCTGGACGAATCTTCGACTATCGAGTGCGCCGCCTCTTTTGCTTGGCGAGAGATATTTCCAATTATATCCAGAGGAAGCGGATCCCGTCTGGGGAGTAAGTCTTTCATGAATAATAAGATATCGAAAAATTTATTTTCCCATTTTTATTTTTTAAATTAAAATGAAAAAAAAAATTTCCTTAAATTTTTCAAAAAATTGTTTTTTAAATTCTCATTTTATTTTTTTACAGAATCCATGTGATGATTTGAGACATCAAAAAATATGGTCAAGAAATAAGACATGCGATCAATTGCCAAGATTTTTGGTGATTGGTCCACAAAAAACTGGTACAACTGCACTCTATACATTCCTCTCAATTCATCCGGCAATAAGCAGTAATTTACCAAGTCCCGATACATTTGAGGAGATACAATTTTTTAATGGAAAAAATTATTATAAAGGCCTTGATTGGTATATGAGCTTTTTTCCAGCGATGAAAAATGAAAGTTCACGTTATTTATTTGAAAAATCAGCGACATATTTTGATGGTGATCTTGTACCAAGACGTGCACATGCACTATTGCCAAAAGCAAAATTAATAACAATTTTATTATCGCCAGCGAGACGTGCCTATTCATGGTATCAACATACAAAAGTTCATGGCGATGCTGTTGCTAAAAATTATTCATTTCACTCCGTTATAATGGCTAGTGATACGGCACCAAAACCATTACGTGATCTTCGCAATAGGTACGTTTTAAAAAAAAAAAAATTTGTAAAAAAAAAAATTAATTTTTCTACCAAACTACCGCAAACTGGGTCCAAATGACCGCGATTTAGTTGGAGGGAAAAATAATTTTTTGTACCAAACTACCGTACACTAGGTTCAAATGACCGCGATTTACTAGAAGGGAAAAATATTTTTTTGTACCAAACTTCCGCAAACTGGGTCCAAATGACTATAATGATTCTTTTTTTTTTCTTTTAAGGTGTTTGAATCCGGGTAAATATGCGCAACATTTGGAAAGATGGCTATCGTTTTATTCACCGCAACAATTGCATATAATTGATGGTGAACAATTGCGACAAAATCCAGTTGATACATTGCATGAATTGCAAAAATTTTTGAAAATAACGCCGGCCTTTAATTATTCGACGCATCTGCGATACGATCCAAAAAAAGGATTCTTTTGTCAAGTGACAAATGAGGATCGCACCAAGTGCCTCGGCAAAAGTAAAGGCCGACAGTATCCTCCAATGGAGGATAGATCGTACAAAATGTTGCAGGTTAACAAAAATAATATCTCTACTTTCGATAATCAATTTTTTAATTTGTAATTTATTTTTCTAATTTCTAATTCTAATTTTTTAATTTCTACGAATTCCTGACAATTCTTACTATGTACTTCTCATTAATCTAATAAGTTCTAATTCCTACCAATTCGTACTAAATCCATTTAATTCCTACAAATATATTTTACATCGTATCAATTTCTACAAATTCCAACTAATTCCTTCCAATTGTTTTTAATTCTTTCTAATTCCTCCCAATTCTTACCACATAAACTAAAATTCATACTAATTCCTACCAATTTCTTTTAATACCTACTAATTCTTACTAATTTTGTCAAATTCTTACTAATTCCTAACGATTCTAACCAATTCTTACCTTACTAATTCCAACCAATTCCTTCTAATTTTTACAAATTCCTACCAATTCATACTAATTCGTAATAATTTTTAACAATTAATACTAATTCGTACTAATTCCTAACAATTCATACTAATTCGTACTAATTCCTATCAATTCATACTAATTACATACAATTCTTACTAATTCCTTTGAACTCCTTCTAATTCCTCCTAATTATTACTATTTCTTACCAATTTCTCTTAATTGCTGCTAATTCCTACCAATTCCATTTAATTCCTTTAAATTTTTACTAATTCCTACCGATTCTAACCATTTTTTATCAAATTAACTAATCTAATATGTACTAATTTCTACCAATTCTTTTTAATTCTTAATAATTTATACTAATTCGTATTAATTCCTACCAATTCGAACAAATTTTAACTAATTCTTACTAATTCCTTCTAACTCTTCCTAATTCATACCAATTTCTACCAATTCCTTTCACTTCTTTGAAATTCTTACTAATTCCTACCGATTCTAACCAATTCTTACCACATTTAGTAATCTGGTTCGTACTTATTTTTACCAATTGCTTCTAATTCTGACAAATTTCTAATAATTTATACTAATTCGTACCAATACTATCCATTTATTAATAATTCCTTCTAACTCCTCCTAATTCCTACTATTTCCTACCAATTCCTTTACATTCCTACTAATTCCTACCAATTCCTTATAATTCCTTCTAATTTTTACTAATTCCTACCGATTCTAACCAATTCTTACAACATTAACTAATCTAATTCGTACTAATTTTTTCAAATTCCTTCTAATTCTTTAAAAAAATTCCCAATAATTTATACCAATTCGTACTAATTCCTACCAATTCGTAGTAATTCTAACCAATTCTTATTAATTCCTTCTAACTTCTCCTAATTTCTACCAATTCCTTGTAATTCCTACCGATTTTAACCAATTCTTACTACATTTACTAATTAATTCCTTCTAATTCTTACAAATTCGTAATAATTTTTACTAATTCTTACCAATTCGTACTAATTCTATCCAATTCTTACTAATTCCTTCTAACTTCTACTTATTCTTCCTAATTCCTTTAAATTCCTACCAATTCCTTAAATTGATAGTAAAACCAACCAATTGCTTTTAATTCTTCAAAATCCCTACTAATTCATACTATTTCCTATGAATTCCAATCAATTCCTACTAATTCCTACCAATTCCTTATAATTCCTTCTAATTTTTACTAATTCCTACCGATTCTAACCAATTCTTACAACATTAACTAATCTAATTCGTACTAATTTTTTCAAATTCCTTCTAATTCTTTAAAAAAATTCCCAATAATTTATACCAATTCGTACTAATTCCTACCAATTCGTAGTAATTCTAACCAATTCTTATTAATTCCTTCTAACTTCTCCTAATTTCTACCAATTCCTTGTAATTCCTACCGATTTTAACCAATTCTTACTACATTTACTAATTAATTCCTTCTAATTCTTACAAATTCGTAATAATTTTTACTAATTCTTACCAATTCGTACTAATTCTATCCAATTCTTACTAATTCCTTCTAACTTCTACTTATTCTTCCTAATTCCTTTAAATTCCTACCAATTCCTTAAATTGATAGTAAAACCAACCAATTGCTTTTAATTCTTCAAAATCCCTACTAATTCATACTATTTCCTATGAATTCCAATCAATTCCTACTGATTCTTGCCAATTCGTACCATTTTTTCAAATTTTTACCAATTCCTACTAGTTTATACTAATTCGTATTAATTCCTACCAATTCCTACTAACTCTGACTAATTCCTAATAATTCGTACTAATTTGTACTTATACTTTACAATTTCTTATTCTTTTTTATATTTCTTTTTTTTCTAAGTATTTTTACTTTCTAATTTATAATTCCTATTAATTCCAAAATTTTTACTATTGTAATTTCTAATTCTTTTTTCATAAACTGATATTAAATTGAATTTTTCAGAGATATTATCTGTCGCACAACACGGCTTTGGTGAAACTGTTGAAACGTTTGGGTCAAAAAACGCCGCAATGGCTAAAGGACGATCTCACCGACACTGTGATGACATAGCAAATGTCAATTTTTTGAAAACTCTTGGAAACAGTTTCACATCAAGTGCCACGTGTTCTCATCAAAGACTTGTAATTAAAAAAAAAAATTAGCAATTTATATAATTATTATCGTGTTAAATATTTAAAAAAAAAAAAAAAACTAACAATATTGAAAATATTGTACATTTGAACGTATTTAAAAAAAAATCAGTGACCACTGTGTTTTCAAAAAAAAAAAAAAAAAAACACTTTTGTGTGTATATTTCTTCCAATGGAAGAATGGAAATGTTTTTTTTTTTTGGATCTACACACAGTGGACCAAAAATAAAAAAAATTGGCCTAACTCGTAAAAAAATCGAGCCAGCCCAATTCACACTAGTCAGCTAAGATTCCAGATTATGGCAGCTTAAGAGGCAGCTATTTTATAATTGTTAAAAAAAATAACAATTTACAATCTAATGTTATTTAATATAACATTAATTACTAAATGTTGTTGCCTATGGAAATCACCTTTTGTCCCATGCCACAAATCAAACTTCCCCCCCCTCACCCCCGCCCCCTATTTATCTCGTCTTTTTTATCATCACCCCAACGACGAGTTTTCCGGGCAATTTAATAAAAAAAAAAAAGAAAAATTCGACGAAAATAATATTTGTAAATTTATTTTAATTTGGAGTTTTTCCCGTCCTCTGGTGCCATTTTTCTGCAAAATAACGCGTGACAAAAATTTTTCTATTTAAAGTTGGAGAAAAAAATTTTTAAGAGATTTAAAAAAAAATTTATATAACAAGAAAAAAATGGAAAAATGAAAGAAAAAAAAAACGGCGAATGAATAGAAAATTTTTTTTTTTTAGTTATATTTTGAAAACTAATATTAATGTACTTAAATGCGAAATTTTTCTTTTTTTATTTCGTTTTCTTTTATATTAATTTTTTTTATTTATTATTATTTTTATTTATAAATTTTTAGTGGTATAAATAATAATAAAAATAATATTAAAACAATAATATAATATATTATAATGTAAAAATATTAATAAGAAAATAATAATAATAATTTTTATAAAATATAATTATAATTATAATTGTAATATTTATAAAATTATAATATATTTATAAATTATAATTATAGTTATATTTTATAAAATTTATTTATTTTTTTTTTGTTAATTTTAATTTTTTTTTCTTTTTCATTATTTTTACAAAAACAAAAACATTTTTACTTTTTAAAACGAAAAAAAAAAAAAATTTTTTAATTAAATTATTTAGAGAAAAAAGTCATGCGTTAACTTGTGGAATCGTCCAGGAAATTTTGTGAGAAAATGCAAAAAAAAAAATAATAATAAATAACCCATTGTACATTATTTCTATATATATAAAAAAAAAAAAAAATTGATGACTGCGTAAGTGTGTATATATATTTTGACAATACTATTTTTAGAATGATTGTGAAAAGTGAATATTTCTGATGTTTGTAAAAATATCTGCAACGTTAATTTTATCGTCGCAGGACAGAAAAAAAAATTTGGTAGTAAAAAAAATTTCTTTTTTTTTAAACTTTAAGAATTTGATATTTTTATTTTAACAAATTTTTTTTTCAAAAAGAAAAAAATATTTTTACAAAATTTTTTTCAAAAAAATTATTTACTCTATTTTGATAATAATAATAATAATAATAACAATTAAAAATATCTATTTTAATTTACAAATAATAATTTATTCGACATTGGTAAGGTGAACATTTTTTTTTTAATTTAATTTTTCTTTATATATACAAAAGTAAATTTTTTTTACAAATTTTAATTTTTAAAAATTTTTAATTTTTTTTTAATCTTTAATTTGATTATTATCAACTGTTTTTTTTTAATGAAATTAAAAAAACGTAAATTTTAAATAAAATATAGTAATTAAATTGACGCCTGAAATTTTCATATCAAGAAAAAAAAACTGTAACTGCATCGAGAAAATGACGTGAAAAAAAAAATTGTAAACTTTTAAATGTACTTTTTGTAAAGAAAAAACAAAAAAAAAATAAAAGAAATTGAAACAATTTCGAGGGTTGCCATTGCATAAATTTTTTGCAATAAGTATTCCTGCGCAAATTGATTGCGTGAAGCCATATTGTACGTTACTGAGATATATATATATATAGATTGTAATTGCCATTTTATTGTTACGTTTGTACATTTGTTTTTTTTATACTGTCAATATGATGATGATGATGATGATAATAATAATTGATCGATTTGTTTTATGAAAATATGAATTTTCATTTTTCACCTTACAAACATTTTTTTTTTAATTTAATAAAAAAAATTTTTTTTAAATATAATAAAAAAAATTTTCTTCAAAAATACATAAATTTTTTTTCACCCTGAATTAATTAGTATAAAAATTTTCATTCTTTTTTCTTTACAATATTTGTATTGAAGAAAGTTGACAAAAGAAAAAAAAAATTTTTTTTGAATTATTATTATAATATTTAATAGGAAATGTTAAATTTATAATTAATTTTATATATTCAATATATAAAAAAACAACTTTTTTTATTATCAGTCATTGGCGCAATTTTTTTTTTATATATAATTAAACAGTGAAACAGTTGTATAAATAGATAGAAGAGTTATTTCAATTTTTTTTCAGTCCTAAAAATTAAATTTTATAAAGAAGAAGAAGAAGAAAAAAAAATGAATTCCAATAATCTAAAAATTATGTTAATTTTTATTATGTCCATCTATTGTGTTATTGCATTGCCATATGTGGAATATTTTTCTACTGAATCGCCCAACAATGAACAATTGGATATTTTATCAAAATTATTAATGAAAAATTTTTCACCAGAATTAAATTCAATGGTAATTTGTATTTTTCTTTTTGCAAAAATTTTGAATTATTATTATTATTTTTTTTTTTAATACAAAAATGTCATTTAACGTTATTTTTTTTTATAGGTAAATTCTGATGAAGTAATGAAAATTATAATCAACAGATTAACTAATAATTATGAAGTAAGTTTTTAATAATTTTTTTTTATATTCTGACGCGTTCTATAAAAAAAAATGAGGTAGAATAATAATCTACAATTTTTTATAAAAATAAAATTTAACACATTTTTTCTATTATAGATCACAACACAAGAAATTGATATTGAAAACTCAACGAAAATACCTGTGCATTATAAAGTAAGTTTCGAGTAAATTAATTTTTGATAAATTTTTTTTTTTTTTTTTTGAAATAAAAATGAAAAATAAATATAAAAAAGAAACATTTTTTAAAAAATAATTTTAAAAAAAATTTTTTTTAAATAAATTTAAAATAAAAAATTAAGCAAAAATTTATTTCACTAAAAATTTTTAAATTTTCTTTAAAAAAGAAAAAATTTTCTCAATAAAAAAATTATTTTACTAATTAAAAAAATATTTTCAATTTCAAAAAACATTTTTCTTTTTTTTAAATATAAAGAACATTGAAATCAATAATAAAACAAAAAAAAAAGGAAAAAAAAATTTATTTTGTTAAATCGAACATTCTTTTTTTCTTATAATCTTATTTTAAAAATATTTGAAAAATTATCCATTTATAAATGATGCGTATTAAAATTTCTAATTATAATTTACGTTTTGGAAAAGAAAAAAATATTTTTCTCTTATAAAAATATATTTAAAAAAAAAAAAACAAAATAATGTTTTACAAATTTAATTTTTTATTAATTTGTAATTTTTCGTTTTTGCTCTTTTTTCAGCCTCGACTAGGATGACAACAAAAAAGAAATAAAGAAAAATTAGTGAAAAAAAGATTATATTTATTAAATTACAAAATAAATTAGTAAAATAAAAAAAATTACTAAAAAGAAAAACTCAAAATTTTGTACAAAAAAAAAAATTATATTTTTGTTACTACTAAATTTATTTATTTTATTTAAAAAATTATTATTAAAATTTGTTATAAATATATGAAAATAAAAATTTATTGTTGAAAAAAATTTTTGTATTTTTTTTACCAAAAAAAAAAAAAATGAATAATTTACTGAATTAATTTATTAGAAAAAATTATTAATTAATATATTCTACATCATAACTAAAAATTTAAAAAAATTTCTGAAATTTTATAAAAAAAATTTTTTTTAACATTTGTTTCAATAAAAATTTTATGCAAAATTACATTGTATATTTAATATATAACTTGAAGAACAAACAGAGACACGCTATATTATTATTTAAATAAATACTTTATATATTTAATATAATATTTACACAGTTGAATAATTATTACATACAAACATTACGCAAAATTGTTTTCATTTCTACACGTGTGGTAAAAAAATATATTTTTTTTTATTTTTAACAGTAAAAAAATTGGATCATAGTTGAGACTATTGAGACCGTTGAGACTTTAGACAATTGAGACTGTTGAGACCGTTTAGACTTTAAAATATTGAGATATGTGACTATTGAGACTTGAGCCTATTGAGACTTGAGACTATTAAGAGTTGAGACTATTGATACTATTAAGACTTGAGATTTGAGCCTATTGAGACTCAAGACTATTGAGACTTGAGATTACTTAAACTTTAAACTATTGAGAGTATTGAGACTATTGATACTTGAGGATACTGACACTTGAGACTATTGAGAATTGAGACTTGACACTATTGACACGGCTGAGACTATTGAGAGTATTGAGACTTGAACCTATTGAGACTTGTTACCATTGACACTGATGAGATTTGACACTTATTATATTAAGATTCCCATTTCCATTCCCATTGAGACTTTAGATTATTGATATTTGAGATTATTGAGACTTGATGGTATTGAGACTTGAGCCTATTGAAACTTGAGGGTATTAAGACTTGAGCCCATTGAAACTTGAGGGTATTGAGACTTGAGACTATTGAGACTTGAGACTATTGAGACTTGAGACTATTGAGACTTGAGACTATTGAGACTTGAGACTATTGAGACTTGAGACTATTGAGACTTGAGACTATTGAGACTTGAGACTATTGAGACTTGAGACTATTGAGACTTGAGACTATTGAGACTTGAGACTATTGAGACTTGAGACTATTGAGACTTGAGACTATTGAGACTTGAGACTATTGAGACTTGAGACTATTGAGACTTGAGACTATTGAGACTTGAGACTATTGAGACTTGAGACTATTGATACTTTTTATACTTGATAATATTGAGAATTGAGACTATTGAGACTATTGAGACTTGAGACTATTGAGACTATTGAGACTATTGAGACTATTGAGACTATTGAGACTATTGAGACTATTGAGACTATTGAGACTTGAGACTATTGATACTTTTTATACTTGATAATATTGAGAATTGAGACTGTTGAGACTTGTTATCCTTGACACTGTTGAGATTTAACACTTATTACATATTAAGATTCCGAATAAAATTTCGTTTCCGTTGAAAATAATTCATTAAGTCTCGTTGCCATTTGAACCATTCTTGTTTCAATTGGACTATCGTAATCTTGCATTTTCATCACCAATACATCTTGATCAAAAATTTTCTTCATACCAATATCATTCAATACATATTGAAAATTTGCCGTTGCAATAAATAATGGAATTTCTTCATTTAATGCTTGACCAACATTAACAATACCAGCTTGATTTGTTAAATCAACTTCCATTATTAATGGTATTTGCGTTGATTCACCTACATTATTTAAACAATTAACAACAACAACACTTTCGCTTGGTGAAAAATTTTTAAATTTATCAAATTTTATAATTTCTGTTTTTTTCAATGTTTTCATTAATTTCTCCGCTAATTCCATGGTTATCATTTCACCACGATAAAGTTTTATTGATCTCATTATTAATGAATAATCATTATTATCACATTGTCTTAAACCAAGACGATTAATTGCCGCTTCAAAACGTCTTATACCATCTTTATTTGTTATTAATTTATTTTTAACATGTGAATAAAGAACATAATAATCTTCAAAACGTAAATTTTCTTCAATATTTGGAATTTTATGATAATTTTCAAATGCCTCGTCAATATTTTGAAAATATACTAAATCATATAATTCATGTATTCTACGTTTTGCTTCGGATAATTGAATGATTTTATCTAAATTTTCAGATAATAAAATATCTTTGATATAGGGATTATTTTGAATTTGCCAATTTCGATAATTATAACGAAAATTTAATGTTTTAAAATCTTCTGCTAACATATTGTATGTTGGTATTTGATTATTATTATTAATTGTTTTAGATAAAATTATATTTGCCAAAAAATCACGTGATAATTCAAATGTACAAAGTAATGCATTTTCAGACATAATATGAGCGGCATTTGTAATTAATTTCATACGTAAATTTTTTGTTATTTCATTTTTATTTAAATTTAAATTCAAAATTTCTGTTTCTCTATTTTTTAGCCATAATTCTTTTTCCAGATATTGTGGTTTTAATTTAATATTTAAAATTTTATTATCTGGTGTAAAAAATGTATCAGTTACTTTAAATAAAACATCATTGAATGTTAAATAATTATTTTCAAATTTTTGATGAAATTTTGTTAAATCAACAAAACCATATGTTGAATCATCAATTTGTATATGATAACGTACTTCTATTTCAGAATGAAATTTAAATTTATGACTTCTTTTTAATGGACCTAATGGTTTATTTGTTAATAATGTTAAATCGTTGAAAAAAAATGTATTTCCCTTTAAATTTGCCAAAAGATCAATATTATTTTGTCCAATTACCATATGACTATACCAAAATTTCATTTGTTTTTGCATACCTAAACCTTGTTCATATTGTAAAATTGCTAATTTATTAACAGCAGTGCGAAGAAAATTAATTTTTGTCGTATCCAATTTTATAAATGATAAACCATTATTTTTCCATAACATTAGAATATCAATGTATTTTGTATATGTTGGTTCACGTAAAATTGAACGATAAATCATTGGTAATACATTAAATGTAGATTGTCTCGAAGTACTGGGAATATTATCATTTATTTCTTCCTCTATTTCTGTTTTGGTTTTTCTATTTTTATTGTCAAATTTTTTATGACGATATGGAATTACATCATTTTTTTCTGTTTCAATTTTTTGTTTTTTCAATGGAATACCATCATTTTTTGGTGTTTCAATATTTGATATTTGTTGAATATTTCCAAATTGAAAAATTTCAGGTGAATTTTGATTTAAAATCCCTCTTTCCGGTGGTTTATCACCGTTATTTAAAAGATCTCGTAATGACATTGAATACAGTGAATTAATTTCCGGTGAATTGGATTCTGTTTTGATAATTACTCCCTCTCTTTCGGGTAATTGAGCAAAATTTTCTGATCCAATATTTCCCCTTAAAGTTCCGATAAATTCAATGTTTGTAATTTGAGGATGATTGGAACGATCTAAATTACCACGTAAATGAACTTGAAATTCAGTATTAGTGAAACGTTGATAATTATTCTCAACTGTATTTTCCCCACTAATTCCAGAATTTTCGATTTGTGAATTTCTTTCTGAAATTCCATGAGGCAAATTTGAATTAACTAATGTTGATTCCGATGTTTTAGCTGATGATTTCATTTGGTTTTCCGTATTATGATAAACGTGATAATTACGAATTATATTAATATCACGTCCAGCAATTATCATTTGATCCAAAAGATAACCAACACGTTGGAGAATATCATTGTCACCTAATTTTAATTTATTATTAAATATCCTATCACTTTCGGGAATGAATTGTTTATAGATACCGGATTTTACCTCAATAACTGGAATTGGAAATGAATACCCATCAATGCTTCTTAATTCCATTGTTTTTCCTCCGGCAGTTAGACATTTAGGTCCAAAAAAATGGGATCCACCGGGATAAAAGTATCTTATAATATTGTAATCGTTATGATTTGACAAAATTGATAGTACCAAACCTGTATGATCCAAGTTTAATTTCTTATTTTGTTTCAAAGACTTCATTAAAGATTTCACCAATAATAATACACGTCTATTTGAGAAATTGGTAATAATACTTTGAAATAATCGGGCAAATGATTGTAAACCAATTCGATAAATAAATTCAAATCCAGGATCTAATGTTTGAAGAGAGGCGATTGTTAAATCTTTCAAAACTTTTTTTGTTAAAATTTCTCTAGCTATGGTACGTACAGCTATTTGGGATAATTGATTTATTACAGATGTTACTGGCACTTTGGTAACAACTGTTTTTGAAAGTGTTTTAGTAATTTGATGATTTTTACTGATTTCAATTGTCAAACTATTGCCAAGTTTAGCAGAATATTTTGCAGCAAAACCTGCTAGTGGAATAAGACTAACAATATCTAGGGCACAACTTAATGTGGCATCTGCAACTTTACCTTCATTGGCATTTTCAATACAACTGTAAAATGGTATAAGAGATGATGCAAAATTTAAAACTTTCTCTCCAAATGTTTCATCATAATTGTGCATCATTAGATTATTTACAAATTCTTTTGCCTTTATAACGGCAACTCTTTGGATAAATTCCCTTTGATCTTCATTATTGTATTTAAAAATTTGATAAAATCTTGGTATTTCCATTTTTATTGATGAATCATTAGCAATTGCTTTGGCAAATTCTTGTTCGTTTTCTCTACTTGACAATATGGATAAAACATTATTCACTTGTTTAAATGCATAAAAATTTCTATTTTTCTCTTCTATTGCAAACAAAAAGAATATATCATCATTTTTTTTTCGTGGAATAATTATATATTCATTCGCATAATTAGGAACTTGTGCAGATTTAACAGTTGCATTTGAATTCAATATTTCCCTCAAATTACTATTAATTAGTACTTTTTGAATTGCATCCTTAACAATATTAATGTAAATCTTTTCTATTTCAACGAATTGTGCCTTGTATTCTTTTTCCAAATCGGGAAGATTAAATTTTTTACATTCTTTTGGAAGAATTAATTTTGTTATCCAAAGATAGAAGGTTTTATAAACATCCACATTGGGTGATGGTACTTTTACAATATGCTCATAATCACAATATTTTTTTAGTATTTCTACAGCAATTGTAGTACGACTTTTTAAGTTACTAATTTCCCTATTAAATTTGTAAAGCAAACTATTTTCAATTTCCCCCTGTACAATTTGATTCATTGTTAAATTTATGTGGATAAATAAATTTTCATAAGCTTCAATCCAAAATTCATCAGTTAGGGTACAATTAATTTGTTGAAATTTTGCCTTTTGAATGTAGGCATAGAAAAATAATGCTGGTGTTGAATATAGATTTAGTACCATTTGATAGGTTTCGTTATTAAAGTCCTGTAAATCAATCTCACGGGAAATTAGAATATAATCTTGAAATGTAAAATTCGGAGACGTTGACGATACAGATTTGATAATTTTTAAACCTACCATTGCGTATATATAATCAACGTCGATTATGCTCATGTCTTTTTTCGGTTGGGGGAAAATTGGCCAAATATAATCATTGAAAACTTTTTGTACTGTCAATCCATTAAGTTTAGAACTGTAATTTCTTGATGAAATATCATTGGAACTATAATTTCCCAACGTAATATTATTAGAACCATAATTCCCTAACGTAACATCATCGAAACAATATTCCCTAGTTGTGTAATTTTTCAAAAGATGTTGAAACACCTTCTCCTTAAGTACCGAGTAATTTATATCATCCGCCGAGTTAATAATTTTAGCCAAATATCCATTAATGTTTCCATAGTGATAGAATAGAGCCTTACTAATGATGTAATGATATGTTTCATTAATGTATTTCATGTCAAGTGTTTCATTTTCTTCACCACCATAGAGATCACTTCCCTTTAGTACTTTTTTTAAAAGTTGAAACTTTGCCTCGGATTCATCTTGAGATTTATTTAAATACTCAAACAAAGTATTTAAAATAGTCACCGATTGTTTTTGCTCCTCAATTGTAATTAAATTCTTATTGTAAAAATAAACACCAAAAATTGTAATATAGTGACATACAGAAAGAAATTGAAAATTTAATGACTGTTGTATGAAAATTGATGAATTCATTATAATCTGTTGTCTAATTTTTTAATTGTCCAATTGTCCACTATTTAATTTATCACTTTTATGCCAATTGATTCTGAAACTGATTATGATTATATAATTCAAAACAATATATCTACTAACTTTGAATTTAAATAATTAATAATTTTTTTAAAATTAATATTAATTTAATCAATTAGTTTTAAATTAATTAATTATTTCGTTTTAAATTAATTACTTTGTACATTAATTTAATTAATTAATTCGTTTTATATTAATTATTTGTAAATTAATTTAATTAATTAATTCATTTTAAATTAATTATTATGTAAATTACTTTAATTAATTAATTTTAAATTAATATAACGAAAACAATAACTTTTTGTTTTTAATTTTACCATATAATTACTCTCTTGGCAGGCAATTATACAACATTTGAAAAAACACTTAATATTAAATTTTCAACTACTATAAATAATATTGCTTAATTGTCAATAAAATATTGAATGACTATAACGCTATATAATATAAAAAAAAATTCTATTTACTTGTACATGTATAATCAGTTGTTAAATTATTATATATATATATTTATTTAATATATTTTATTGACATCTATAAATATCAATTGAAGGGCATTTACAATACACGTGTTATAAATATTTTCTTAAAATATAATGGAATTTTCAAATAATTATTGTCACGTGATGAATGTGAATTATATTAAATTAATAAATATAAAAAAGAATTAAATTTAATTTAATTTAAATTATTAAAGAAAATTAATAAAATGCAAATTAGAATTGAAGGGAAAATTAAATTATAACTTACGATTTAGATAACTGCAGACGATAATATAGAAGAGGGAAACTTTATTTTTTATTAAACAAATAAAAATATTTAGGATCGAAAGACAGAAACAAAGGAATTGATTGGAAATATTGATGTCTAATAAAATTGAGGCAAAGAAAAATTTTTATTTTTACCACTATTTAACATTTTTTATCATATACAAATATAAAAGTATTTATTACAATATTAAGTAAATTAATTCAATAATTAATTTTGATAAAAAAAATTATTTCCGATTAATTAATTCTGATAAAGAAATTATTTCCAATTAACTAATTTCGTTTCAGTAATTAATTATGATAAAGAAATTATTTTTGAATAATTAATTTTGGTTCAATAATTAATTCTGATAATCAAATTATTTCTGATTACTTAATTCAGATTCATTTAATTAATTCTGATTAATTAATTCTAATTCAGTAATTAATCTTGATTAATTAATTCTGATTTAGTAATTAATTTTGATTTAGTAATTCATTTTGATTTAGTAATTAATTATGATGAAAAATTGATTTCTGATAAATTAATTCTTATCAGTAATTAATTCTGGTAAAGAAATGATTTCCGATAAATTAATTCTGATAAAGAAATTATTTCCGATAAATTAATTCTGATAAAGAAATTATTTCTGTATAATTAATTCTGATTCAGTAATTAATTATGAATAATTAATTCTGATTCAGTAATTAATTATGATTAATTAATTTTGATAAAGAAATGAATTTTAAGTAATAAATTCTCATTCAGTAAATAATTTTGAATTAGTAATTAATCTCAATTAATTAATTCTGATTTAGTAATTCATTTTGATTTAATAATTAATATTTATTAATTAATACTGATTCAGTAATTAATTCTGATAAATGAATTCTAAATCAGTATAATTAATTCTGATGAAGAAATTATTTCCTATTAATTAATTCTGATTCAGTAATTATTTCTGATTAATTATTATTTCTGATTTAGTAAGTAATCTTGATTAATTAATTAATTCTTATTTATTAATTAATTTTGATGAAGAAATGATTTCTGATTAATTAATTTTTAATAAATAATTAATTCTGATAAAGAAATTAATTCTAAATAATATCAATTAATTCAAATAAATTATGTTTCCTAATATTTAAAATTGCAAATAAAATAACAATAACAAATAAATTATTCCGAAATTTCTACATCCGAATAGAATTTAGTTTCTGTTGACAGTAGTTGATGAAGCCTCTTTGCCATTTGAACCATTCTTTTTTCAGTTGGACTTTCATAATCTTGCACCTTCACAACCAATATATCACGATCGAGAACTTTTTCATAATACTTTTTATCCATTAAAAATTGGAAACTTCTCATTGCTACATGATATGAATTTTTTTCATTTAGAGCTTGACCAATATCAACAACACCTGCCTGATTTTTTAAATCAACTTCAAGTAATAGTGGAATTTCTGTTTTCGAACCAACATGATTCAAACAATTAACAATTTCCTTATTTTTGCTTGTTGAAAAAAATTTCATTTTATTAAAAATAAGAATTTCATCTTTATCAATTGATTTCGTAATTTTTTCTGCCACTTCTTTTGTTATCATTTCACCACGATAAAGTTTAATTGGTTTCATAATTAATTCCTCATCATTACATTGTCTTAGACCAAGTCGATTAATAGCAACTTCAAGTCTTCGTATTCCATCATTATTCGTCACTAATTTATTATTTACATATGAATACAGTATATAATAATCTTCAAATCGAAAACGTTGTTCAACATTTTTAATTTTACGATAATTTTCATAAGCCTCGTCAATATTTTGAAAATATGTATAATCATATAATTCACGAATTCGACGTTTTGCTTCACTTAATTGAATAATTTTATCTAAATTATAATTTGCCAATACATCTTGAATATATTTATTGCTATCAATTTGATAATGTTTGTAATTATAGTGATAGTCCATATTTTTTAAATCATTCACTAACATTTCATATGTTGGAACATGATTAGCAATAGTTGTACTTAAAATAAAATTTAATAGAAAATGTTTTGATATATCAATAGTACAAAGTGGTATATTTTCAATCATAAAATTAGCAGCCTTATTAATAATTTTCATTCTTGTTGTTAAAATTCCTGTATTTTTTATCAAATTCCCAATATTTTGTTGACGATGGTAAAGATATAAATTTTTCATTAATTTTTGATTTTTCATATAAATATTTAAAATTCTATTATTGTTTGAAAAAACTGTATCCGTTACTGTAAATAAAATATCATTGAATGTAATGTAATTATTATTTAATTCCTTATCAAAATTAGTTAAATCCACAAATCCATATGAAGAATCAATTTCTAATTGATAACGTATTTGTATATTTGTTGAATATTTATTATTAATTATTAACGTTGGTCTTTTCGTTGTTAATAAAGTAATGTCATTGAAGAAAAATGTTTTACCTTTCAATTTACTGAGAAAATCAACAATATTGTATTCTTTTATTATTTCAGTATACCAGAGAATATTTGGTAGGGAAATTTGTTTTTCCATTTGAAGAATTGCTAAATTATTCACGACATTTCGTAGGTAATTAATTTTTCCCTCATTTCTCTTTAAAATAATTAAACCATCTTTTTTCCATAATTTTAAAATATCTATATGTGAATACATTTGATTATTTATGATCCGATTGTAAAATTTTGTCGTTACTAAATTTCCCGACGTAGTGGGAATATCATCAGGATTTGAAATTTGTTGTTGAAGAGAGATTTCTGGATCAATTTTTCTACGTTTTTCTGATAAAGTATCAAATTTTTTATGACGATATTCCTGTGATTGGGAAATTGTATTTTCTAATGTCTCCGAAACTTTTTGATTCACATCGGAATTGGAAATTGAATTTCGTTTTAAATCTTTATTAGGTGATTTTTTTTGGGCGTTTAGTAAATTCTTCAATATCGAATATTCTTCCTTGGAATCTTCTTTCTGATTCACAAACGGAGAATTAAAAACGGAATTTTGTTTTAAATCTTCATTAGATGACTTTTTCCCAGCGTTTAGCAAATTCTTCAATATCGAATATTCTTCCTTGGATTTTGATTCTGTTTTTATAATTCCTCTTGATGTTCCCGGCAATTCGGAATTTGGTCCTTGAGGAGAATTATGACCTCCAATGTTTCCTCTCAATGTGCCGACAAATTCAATATTTGTCCCTAGGGGAAAATTCGACCCCTCTAAATTTCCTCTTAAAGTGACACGAAATTCAGAATTAGAAAATTGTTGCACTAAATTTTCTTCTCTAGAATTATAAGGTAATTCCTGATGTAGTTCAGGATTTTCATTAATGGATGTTTTCGGCAAATTTTCTGTATTATAATAAACCTGATAATTACGAATTATATTTACATGACGATTATCCAAAATCATTTGATCTATTAAATAACCAACACGATGGAGAATATCGTTGGAATCTTTTTTAAATTTAAAATCAAAAATTTTATCACCTGGAATAAATTGTTTGTAAAGGGATTTTTCCTCAACAACTGGAATTGGAAATGTATAACCCTCGATGCTTCTTAATTCCGCAGTTTTTTCAGAAGAAGTTAGACATTTAGGTCCAAAAAAGTGGGATCCACCAGGATAAAAGTATCGAACGATGTTAAAATCTTTTTGATTTACTAAAACCAATGGTACTAAACCAGTATGATCGGTTAGTAAATTTATATTTCTTCTTATTTTCTCCAATAGAGAATTTATTAATACCATGATATTTTTAAATGACGAAATGCTTCTAAAATTGGAAATTATATTTTGAAATAGATTTTTAAATGCTTGAAAACCAAAACGACCAACTTGGTAAAAGAATTCAAATCCAGGATCAAATGTTCGAAGGGAGGCTATAGTTAAATCTTTTAAAAGACTTCGAGTTAGAATTTCCTTTGCAATTGTTTTAACAGCAGTTTGGAAAATTTGATTCAAAACTGTAATTATTGGTAATTTGGTAATTCCTGTTCTTGCCAAAGTATTAGTGATTAGATATTTATTACCAATTTCCACTGCGAAACTATTGGTGAGCCTAGTTGTATATTTTGCAGCAAAACCAGCAAATGGAATTAGACTAAGAACATCCATTGTACAACTAAATGCGGATTCTACCATTTTGCCAGCTTTTCCACTTTCAATGCAACTGTAAAATGGAATTAGAGATTTTACAAAATTTAGAAATTTCTCCCCAATTGTTTCGTCATAATAGTACTTTTTTAGATTATTTAAAAATTGTTTTGTTTTTATTTCCGCAACTCTTGCAATAAATTCTCTGTAATCTTCATCACGGTATTTGAGAGTTCGGGAAAATACTGCAATTTCCATCTTTAGGGAAGAATCATTAGCAACTGCTTTAGCAAAATTTTGTTCGTTTCCTCTATTTGTTAATAAAGAAAGAGTATTATTCTCCTGTCTCAGGGCGTAAAATTCGGATTTTTCTTTTTCTACAGCGAACATAAGATATATATCATTGTTTGCCTTTCGTGGAATTGGTGAACATAAATTGCAACCCTGCTGATAATCAGGAATTCGTGCAAACATAACAGTGGAATTTAATGTAATTTCCTCCACTAATTTACTATCAACTAATATTTTTTCAATTCCATTT